TGTGGCGCGTGCAGATGAGACCACGTGACTCGAAGCGTCACTGGAGTTGGGTAACAATGACGGCTCTGACCAGAGCACATTAGAAGGTCCAAAAAGTAAATTAGCATAAAGTTTTAGCCTGGTAGGTATATTGATACAATACATGTAAGCTGGGCTTACGAAAAAAAAATGTTATAACTAACTACAGGGATATTTTTAATAACAAAAATTATGCTTAAACACTGCACAATAATTGTACAGACAGTCATTTTGATGTCACCCCCTCTGATGATGTCACCCAGTTCGCATCCCCCGAGTACCGCCACTGAACGGTGACCATCATCATCGATTATGATGATGATTGAGGGGGTGGGGCGATGTTGCTGCAACCCAAATTCGATTCCCGCTCACGGCCAACATCAGTGACGATTCTAGATTTGAAGCTTTCGTGACTGCAAGGATTCATACTCTTCAGTAAATGTAGCTGTGACGGTCCCACCTGAAGACGGAGACTTGTGTTGCCTCCGAAACGTCCTGATTTAATAGATTTATTTTCATTTATTATTATTTTATTATTTTTTTCCCAGCGTGACTTTACTGAAATAACCTAAGAGGGTCAGTAACGATTATCTGAACAGGTCCTGGGCCTCCACCGAGGTTGCCTTAAACGAGTACCAGGTGTGGTGCGTAAGAACATCGCCACTGGGGGGAGACAAAGGCGGTCGGGCGTGGTGCGTGGCCACCCACCCCCTCGTGTGCTATTCCGGCCTTCATAGGTGATCGCTAAGGGGCCGTCCATAAATGACGTCACGCGATTTTGGACGATTTTTGACCCCCCCACCCCATCGTCACACGGCGTCACAAAAAGTCAGCCCCCCCTTCAAATATGACGTCACAAAGCTCTGCCCCCCCCCCCCAAAAAAAACATGCTTCAAATCGCTTTAAACTATTGTCATTGTAGTGCGTATTTAATGTGGCGCTGCACTCTGATGTTGTAGGAGAAAACATTTATCAAAAAGTCTATTTAATTAAGTAGAACGTGTTGTCTATATTGATTTAAAGTCGCGCATTTTGACGTGACGTCACATTTCTCAAACCCGCCCCCCCTCGTCACACATTGTCACAAATGTCTGACCGCCCCCCCCCCCAGGTGCGTGACGTCATTTATGGCCGGCCCCTAACAGCACTTGCCCCAACAGTCTGTTAAGGTATTCTTAGGTGTTTTCAGTAAAGTCACGTAGGTAAAACATTACAATTAATAAAAGTAAAATAAAATAATATAATTTTATTTTACTTTTATTAATTTTTTTTACCGAAAACACCTAAGAATATGAATCCTTGCAGTCACGAAAGCTTCAAATCTAGTCTGTTAAGGCTACACGGGGGGATCTTGATGTTGCCGTGTAGGCTACGTACGGTGCGAAAGAAGTTCATCATTCGTACGCACGCACGCGAGATTCCCAAAGCGAGTCTTGCAAACAACCTCAAGCCGCAAGGGACAATGCCACTTTCTCGTGTGGCATTGCCACTTGCTCATGTGGCATTGCCACTTGCTCGTGTGGCATTGTCACTTGCTCGTGTGGCATTGCCACTTGCTCGTGTGGCAATGCCACTTGCTCGTGTGGCAATGCCACTTGCTCGTGTGGCAATGCCACTTGCTCGTGTGGCATTGCCACTTGCTCGTGTGGCAATGCCACTTGCTCGTGTGGCATTGCCACTTGCTCGTGTGGCAATGCCACTTGCTTGTGTGGCATTGCCACTTGCTCGTGTGGCAATGCCACTTGCTCGTGTGGCAATGCCACTTGCTCGTGTGGCATTGCCACTTGCTCGTGTGGCAATGCCACTTGCTCGTGTGGCATTGCCACTTGCTCGTGTGGCATTGCCACTTGCTCGTGTGGCAATGCCACTTGCTCGTGTGGCATTGCCACTTGCTCGTGTGGCAATGCCACTTGCTCGTGTGGCAATGCCACTTGCTCGTGTGGCATTGCCACTTGCTCGTGTGGCAATGCCACTTGCTCGTGTGGCAATGCCACTTGCTCGTGTGGCATTGCCACTTGCTCGTGTGGCATTGCCACTTGCTCGTGTGGCATTGCCACTTGCTCGTGTGGCATTGCCACTTGCTCGTGTGGCATTGTCACTTGCTCGTGTGGCATTGCCACTTGCTCGTGTGGCATTGCCACTTGCTCGTGTGGCATTGCCACTTGCTCGTGTGGCATTGCCACTTGCTCGTGTGGCATTGCCACTTGCTCGTGTGGCAATGCCACTTGCTCGTGTGGCAATGCCACTTGCTCGTGTGGCATTGCCACTTGCTCGTGTGGCAATGCCACTTGCTCGTGTGGCATTGCCACTTGCTCGTGTGGCATTGCCACTTGCTCGTGTGGCATTGCCACTTGCTCATGTGGCAATGCCACTTGCTCATGTGGCAATGCCACTTGCTCATGTGGCATTGCCACTTGCTCATGTGGCATTGCACCAAGGTCAGTCTACGTTCTAATCAGCATTAGCCAGGGTCAGGCCACTGCTGGATGAGGGCCTCCCCAATCCGTCACCTCCTGCCGCTGCAACTTTATCATAATCCACGCAGCAGATGCCGCACGACACGAATTCATCGCTCCATCTCCATTTGTTGCATGTCGTTCCATTTGGCCCCCCTACACTAGTTTTAATTTGCATCACGGTGGTTGTAACTAGTTTAATTGAGGCTTAAAACGCCTTGCGGTCAGCAACAAACAGCACGCGCTACGTATTCAGAGTTATTTTTTTTTACAATTTAAAGCGTCGACAGCGTCAGGAAAATGTTGTCGCAGGATTACGGTTCCAGTGTGAGCTGTGGGTGGTGATGGTAGTGATGGTGGTGATGATGAGTGAGAGGTGATAGTGGTGGTGGTGATGATGGTGATGGTAGTGATGGTGATGAGTGGGAGGTGATGAGTGGGAGGTGATGAGTGGGAGGTGATGGTGATGATGAGTGGGTGGTGATGGTGGTGGTGATGATGGTAGTGATGGTGATGAGTGGGAGGTGATGGTGGTGATGGTAGTGATGGTGATGAGTGGGAGGTGATGGTGGTGATGGTAGTGATGGTGATGAGTGGGAGGTGATGGTGGTGATGGTTATGGTAGTGATGGTGATGGTAGTGATGGTGATGAGTGGGCGGTGATGGTGGTGGTGACGGTAGTGATGGTGATGAGTGGGAGGTGATGAGTGGGAGGTGATGATGGTTGTGATGGTGATGAGTGGGAGGTGATGGTAGTGATGGTGATGAGTGGTAGGTGATGATGGTGATGAGTGGTAGGTGATGATGATGGTAGTGGTAGTGATGGTGATGATGGTAGTGATGGTGATGATGAGTGGTAGGTGATGATGAGTGGTAGGTGATGATGATGGTAGTGATGATAGTGATGGTGATGAGTGGGAGGTGATGGTAGTGATGGTGATGAGTGGTAGGTGATGATGGTGATGAGTGGTAGGTGATGATGATGGTAGTGGTAGTGATGGTAATGATGGTAGTGATGGTGATGATGAGTGGTAGGTGATGATGATGAGTGGGAGGTGGTGATGGTGATGAGTGGATGGTAGTTATGGTGATGAGTGGATGGTAGTGATGGTGATGAGTGGATGGTAGTGATGGTGATGAGTAGGAGGTGAAGATGATGATGATGGTAGTGATGGTGATGAGTAGGAGGTGAAGATGATGATAATGATGGTGCATCTGTCACGGCCACGGTAACACGACTCACCTTGGCGGGCCCCGCCGCGGCGTCTCTCAGCGCCGAGCTCCTCAGAGCGGCGCGCACGAGCGAGTTCGCCATCGGTGGCGAGCCGAGAAACCCTCACCTCCCCTTACTTCCCTCACCTCCCCAACAGAGACCGGGCAGAGAAGCCACACGCAAGAGAAGCCACACGAACACTTGGGGAACAACGCAACGATGTGGGGTAGACTGACGATGATGGTGGTGGTGATGGTGGTGATTTGATTTGCTAGACCGCACAAGCGAGTTCCCGCCCTCTACACTCTTCTGATTGGCTGCTGAGCTGAGCGGCTCTTGACCAATAGGAAGCCGGGGAACGTCCCGCCGCGTGCTTATCCGCGTTACGGATTCGAAACGGCGCCGAGGGTTGGTGCTGTTGAGTAGCGGCCAAGGGCGTCGCGAGGGCGGGTGACGTCATCGCTGTGGGGGGGGGGGGGCGGTGGCGGCCATCTTACGTAGGGAGGGGGGGGGGTCATTTTTTTAAATGAAGTAAATTAAATTGTTCGATTTAAAGCTTCTTTCGTGACTGCAGGGATTCATCTTCTTGGTTTTTTAGGTAAAGTCACGTAGAAGGGAAATAATAAAATAATACAAACCTAAAACTATAAAAATTCTCACGACGTTTCGACTGCAACACAAGCAATCATCATCAGCTGTGAAATCCACAGCATTATATTTTGAAAAAAAATTGCTAAATTTGAAAACCGCCACTTTTTTTTAATTTTCTTGCTGCAGATTTCACAGCTGATGATGATTGCTTGTGTTGCAGTCGAAACGTCGTGAGAATTTGTATTGTTGTATATTTTTATTTTTTTATTATTTCCCTTCTACGTGACTTTACCGAAAGAACCAAGAATATGTTAATTATATCTTCTTGGTTATTTCGGTAAAGTCACGTAGAATGAAAATAAAAAAATAAAAAAATAATAAACTAATTAAATTTTGATTTAAAGCTTTCGTGACTGCAGGGATTCATCTTCTTGGTTCTTTCGGTAAAGTCACGTAGAAGGAAAATAATAAAATAATAAAAACATAATAAAATCATTCTCACGACGTTTCGGCCACAACGCAAGCAGCCGTCTTCAGGTGGAGAACAGGTCTGTCGAGAAGGCAGAGTCTGAATGGCACGCACCAAGAAGATGAATCCCTGCAGTCACGAAAGCTTTAAATAGAAATGTTAATTATACCTCATTACATATTCATGAGGGGGGCGGCAACATCCGCTCGCTTGGCCACGCCCACTTCGCCACCCCGGAAGTGTCCGCGTCTCGGACCCACGTGGCGTGCGCCGCCGTCAACGTGACCGCAACGTCACGTGGACCCCGCGCGCTCCGTTCACGGATATGCGTTGAGGTGTAGGTCGTGGCAGACTTTGTGTGGGTTTTTTTTCTCTCTCTCTCTCTCGAACCCAGTTCGATTCCCGATCACGGGCCTAACCAGTGACGATTATCTGAACCGGTCGTGGGTCGACTCAGCCTCAAAATAAATAGCCGCTGCGGTGTGTTTGAACGTCGCCACTTTGGCGATAAGGTGGGCTTGGACGTGGTGTTTGGCTGCTATAAATGTCCACGCGATAAGCTACTTAGTTGAGCTATCATTTGTGGCCAGGTCGCTTCTGAAGAAGAGCTACACGGACCCTTAACAGGTAAAAAAAAATACAAAATAGTTTAGTTTTTATTCATTGCTTCGTGTGCCGTGCCGGCCTTCATAGGGTCCCTAGCTTCTCGCGAACGGCATTTGCTGCGTTACAAAAGAAGTCTTGTCAAGGAGGGGGGAGGTGTGGGTGGGGAATTTGTTGTTGTTGTTGTGACTGTAGCAACAGCAGGGAGACGCGCGTGCACGCCATGGAGGCTGGAGGAGCCGGTGGAGGGGAGCTGTCGCTGTACGTGTGGCCCAGGAGGGCGGCGGCTCTGGGTGCTCATCTCGGCTGCGTGGCACTCACCGTCACCCTGGCTGCGCTCAGCATGCCGGGCAGCAGTGAGTGACCCGAATGACCTCGTTAAAACAATTTAACTACGTGGTAAATTTCGTGACTTTAGCGAAAGACAGACCTGTTCTTCGCATGAGGACGGCTGCTCGCGTTGTGGCCGAAACGTCGTGAGAATTTTATTTTATGTTGTATTTTTATTATTTTATTATTTCTTACCGAAAGAACCAAGAAGAACTACGTGGTAGTAATATTGTTCTTTGGGTCTTTCGGTAAAATCACGTAGATAAAAAAAAATACCAATAAAATCATCAATAATATTATTTGGGTTTTTCGGTAAAGTCACGTAGATAAAGAAATACCAATAAAATAATAATATTATTTGGTTCTTTCGGTAAAGTCACGTCGACATTTTTTTTTATTTTTAAAAATAATATTTTCTATCTACGTGACTTTACCGAAAGAACCAGAGAATATGAATTCCTACAGTCACGGAATTTTTAAGTCAAAATCTTACGTGGTAGAAAGGTGTCTGACATCAAACGGAGACCAGCGTATAAAGTAACCCTCCGTGCGATTGATCGGCCCTGACTAATGCTCAAGGAGAGATGATTTTATGTATTTCACCTTAACTTAACCAGGTTAAAACCTCCTTGAGGTTAAAATCTCTTTCGCGAAGGGGGCCTGGCAAGAAGTCGGCAAAAATAAAATATTATGAGCAGACGGAGACTGGCAGGTTCACGGCTTCAATTAAGTGATGCCCCACCACACCATTCCAGGCCAACTTGTGTCTGTACGAAAAGCCCCAGAGTCTGCCTTAACTTTAGATTCGTGTGTTCATCATGAGACTCACTATACATAACTTCTCATCAAACTACAGTAGACTCTCGATTATCCGCGCTAATGACGCGGAGGACGGCCGCGGATCATTTAAGTTCGCTGATAATCCAAAATTATAACCATTTTCCGCGGATCTCCGTGCGAAAAACCATGAATATTGCTATAAATTACTGATCGATGCGTGTGCTCACTGATAACGCTTTCCTGCTCCCGCGCAGTAAACTCTGCCCACGAAGTGGATGATAGCAGAGCCTCGCCAATCAAAATCACTCAAACTCTGCCCCCTGTTGTAAAGATATGACAACTACTGTGCTATAGAGGCAATCACGTGGATTTCGGATTAATCAGGACACATGTTTGTTCGGGTTAAGCATGTGACTTCCAATAATAACAATGTATAGCTGTTTTTCGATTATTAATTTGGGCTTAAAGGAACATCCATGAGTTACTCATTTATGTCAAACCTCAGGTGCGCGGTTAATCCGCAAATCGGATAAACCACACGCGGATAATCAAGAGTCGAGTGTTTTTTTTTTCAATTTTACCAGGTAAGGGTACCTGAGCTATATAGCTCTTTTTTCAGAACTGACCTGGCTATCACAAATGAAATTTGATAGCAACATACTCTAAATGCGTGATGTTTATTCGAAATCTGGAGCGAAAAAAACAGAGGACCCGGAGAAAATTCCACGCGACCACGGGGAGAGAGATGCAAACTCCAAATATACAGAAGGCATCAGTGTCGGGATCGAACCCACAACCTCCTTCAAACCAGGCGAGGTAGTTAACATCTCCTAGCCACCGTGATGATGATGAGAGAGAGACACGCAAACTCCAAATATACAGCAGCAGGGGTCGGGATCGAACCTACGACCTCCTGTATACCAGGCGAGGCAGTTAACATCTCCTAGCCTACGTGGTGATGATGAGTGAGAGACACGCAAACTCCAAATATACAGCAGCAGCAGGCGTTAGGGTCGGGATCGAACCCACGACCTCCTGTATACCAGCCGAGGTAGTTAACATCTCCTAGCCACCGTGGTGATGATGAGAGAGACACGCAAACTCCACATATACGGCAGCAGGCGTCAGGGTCGGGATCGAACCCACGACCTCCTGTATACCAGCCGAGGTAGTTAACATCTCGCCACCGGTGTGACGTGCAAGCAGTGGCAATGTGATAGAGTTACCCACAAGCCAGGCAAGCGGCAGGCCATAACCAATTAGCCGAATGACCTTAAGTAAACCTCCAAACCTTACTGGTAACTTTATCTCTCAGGCATCTCTGTTGGTGTGCTATGAAGAAGGGTTATTACCTGAAACGTCGCTGATTACATATTGTTTAAGGCCACTCAGTGTTGTTATTGACAAACGTTTTGGGTGTTTTGTTTGTGCTTGTGCACCACTGCCAACGCCACCGCATCACCAAATAATTAACGTAAACCAACCGACCCCGTTTTTAGTGGTGGGATGACCGATTGACCTAATGACCTGTCCAGTGTTATTCCGTGAACTCTCTGGCAGCAATGATAACCTGTTCCGAATTCTATTTTAGCTTTTGGCAATACGTTCAATATCTACGTGCCAATGTCGAGGTCTGCTCGCCACTGCGGAGAGTTCTTGTAGTTTTACTATTCCTCCTCCGTCGAATGAGTGTAGACCACAATGGTTTGAGATACAGTCCATAGTTTTCGATTTAAAGCTTTCGTGACTGCAGGGATTCATCTTCTTGGTTCTTTCGGTAAAGTCACGTAGAATGGAAATAATAAAATAATAAAAATAATAAAATATTAAATTTCGATTTAAAGCTTTCGTGACTGCAGGGATTCATCTTCTTGGTTCTTTCGGTAAAGTCACGTAGAAGGGAAATAATAAAATAATAAAAATAAAAATAATAAAATATTAAATTTCGATTTAAAGCTTTCGTGACTGCAGGGATTCATCTTCTTGGTTCTTTCGGTAAAGTCACGTAGAAGGGAAATAATACAAATAAAACAATACAATATTATTATTTTATAATGTTTTATTTTTATAATAATTAAAATAAAACATAATAAAACATAATAAAATAATATAATTAAACATAATAAAATATACTATGGGGACCTCATTTGCCAGTAAAAATATGATAATTGGTTCTTTACCCTTCTATCTGGCAACAAAACTGACACCTTTTTGCAAGGAGTCATGCAAACATGTGTAGAGGAGTAGTGGAGAGTGGTGGCGTCGTGTGCGCTGTCCGGTGCGGTGACCTCACGGGACGTGGGGTCGCACGCGCTGGGCAGTGCACGTGACATCACCCCTCCGAGGGTATATAAGGGAGACCCCGTAACGTAAGCGGGGTCACTATAGGAACGGGGATAGTAAACAGGGTGAAGAGGGAACCAGGGATAGTGAGAGGGATCAAATAGGGAGTCTGGGGAGAAGCCGGTGGTAGCCGAAGAGGTGCTTCTCTCTCCGGTCGGTGGAGTCGGCAGACTCCACGATCCGACACGAGAGAGAGACCGGAGCTAGCCGGCAGGGACCCAGACTCAGAGTAGGACCCCTAGCCCCTGGGAGTTGTGTACCCTGTGTAGTTTTGACCAAGAGTAATAAACCCTGGCGGAAGCCCCTAAGTTACCTCCGTCTCCGAGTACGTCCGTCGGAACCTCTCTACAACTGGTGTCAGAGTGTCTGCACTGCTGCTACAATGTTTACATCGGGAGCGGAGCGCAAGAACCCAGCGACGGGACGATCGGAGGATGAAGACGGCGGGGAGGAGGCTTCGGCAGTGACCCCGGAGTCCGGGGCTCCGGTGACAGGCCCCGAGAAGACGACGGGCGGGGGTGCCAGCTCGCCGCCACCACCGCTGGAGACAGGGAGCACCCCTGCAGACCTGCTGAGGCAGCTCCTGCAGGCGATCGCGCAGCTTTGCGCCCGTCTCGACATCGCGGAGGCGAAGTTGGGTCCTCCCGGTCCGCACTCGGGATGGGAGCAACTGTCAACTGCCGGGACGCCGCGAGAGGCGGCCGCCATCTTCGCCGCGACGCCCCAGCTGGCTATTTTGCCTACGACGTCGCCAGCGGTGGCCATGTTGGTTGGGGCGCCTCAGGCGGCCGCCATTTTAACTGCGACGCTGCAGGTGGCGGCCATTGTTCATGCGACGCCGCACGTCGGCGCCATGGCTGCCATGGCAACTGCGACGCCGTTGTCCACCGTGGGTGCCGCCGCGACTTCGCGCCACACCGCGCGCGCGGGGTCTGCCAGCGGCGATGCCACAGCTCCGCACCATGCTGCGCCCGCCGGGGGAGCCCCAGGTACGTCCGGGGCTCCACACCTCGCCGCACCACGGGAGTTGCCGAGGGTGCCGCCGTGGTTCCGGCCATCGCCGCGCTGGCGGGGTACATTGCTGGTGTCGCCGTGGCCCCGTGCATCGCTGCCGCGGCTCCTCACGATGCCGCGCCGCGGAAGTTGCCGCGGTTCCGAGCATCGCCGTGCCTGCGGGGTTTGGCGCGCCCGCCACCGCGGCTGCTATAGTTGCCGCGGCCGCGGGGTGGGCCGAGGGTCACGCCGGGGCACCGCACCTCGCTGTGCATGCGGGGTTTGCCGCCGGCGACGCCGCACCAGGCTGCTATTTTGCCTGCAGCGATCGCGGTGGGGGCCGCCGGCGACGACGCGGCCCCGCACCTCGCGGTGCCTGGGCGTTGCCATGCCGACGCCGCGGCTCTGCATCTTGCCGCGGCATGGGCAGCAGGAGCCGCCGCTCGGGCCGGCGCGCGCCTGGCAGGAGCTGCGTTGGGCTGCTGGGCTGCTGCGGCTCTCCCGGGGCCTGTCACTAGCTGGCACGGTGCCTGCCCTGGCGATTCGTGCCACATGGGGAGGCGTGCGCTCTGTTGATGGCCTGTGGAAACGCTGCCGTCGGCCTCCAGCCCTCATCGCTCAATTGTGTTATGTTGGCGTGTTTTGTCTAAGACTGCCCAATTGTCCGTTTTGGTGTGTTTTGTCTGGGCTGCTCAATTGTTCAATTGTTGTTTGTTGGCGTGTGTTGTCTGGGCCATCGGGATTCCGCCTTTGTATTGATGGCAGCGCGTGATGAGAGTTTCAAAGTTTTGAAATTTGATTGATTGTTGTCATGCTGCCTGGATGTTGTCGGTTGGTTGTGAATATGTTGGTTTGTGGTTCTGGGACTCCTCTACTTTTATATTGTTTACAGCCGAGTCGGCTGAATTTTTTTCACAGGGGGGGGTGATGTAGAGGAGTAGTGGAGAGTGGTGGCGTCGTGTGCGCTGTCCGGTGCGGTGACCTCACGGGACGTGGGGTCGCACGCGCTGGGCAGTGCACGTGACATCACCCCTCCGAGGGTATATAAGGGAGACCCCGTAACGTAAGCGGGGTCACTATAGGAACGGGGATAGTAAACAGGGTGAAGAGGGAACCAGGGATAGTGAGAGGGATCAAATAGGGAGTCTGGGGAGAAGCCGGTGGTAGCCGAAGAGGTGCTTCTCTCTCCGGTCGGTGGAGTCGGCAGACTCCACGATCCGACACGAGAGAGAGACCGGAGCTAGCCGGCAGGGACCCAGACTCAGAGTAGGACCCCTAGCCCCTGGGAGTTGTGTACCCTGTGTAGTTTTGACCAAGAGTAATAAACCCTGGCGGAAGCCCCTAAGTTACCTCCGTCTCCGAGTACGTCCGTCGGAACCTCTCTACACATGACTCCTTGCAAAAAGGTGTCAGTTTTGTTGCCAGATAGAAGGGTAAAGAACCAATTATCATAATAAAATATTATAATATTATTTTATTATGTTTTATTTTATTATTTCCCTTCTACGTGACTTTACCGAAAGAACCAAGAAGATACAGTCCATAGTTTCATCATCATCACAATCCATGGGCAGATAGCTCGTAGGTGTCCACTGGCAATTTCATCATTAGTTTACCTGTCTTAATTACCCAGTGACAAGCCCGTCACCTTATGACCCTGACGCAAAATAGTCGGCAGCAGATGGGGATACTTGACACAATGGCATAGCCAGACATAGCGACCTAGTGGTCTCATTTCCTTGTCACTCTTCCTGTCGCTTAAGTGTAACGGTGGATATGCGTACAGCATAAGTAGTGAAGTTGTATGTACCGTATGTATGTTGCACTTATTTCTCAGCGTACGTAGCCAACCGTGCTCATCGGAAGTGCGGAGGAAAGACGACAAACTAAACACAAACATAATTATAATTTTATTATGTTTTAATTTTATTATTTCCATTCTACGTGACTTTACCGAAAGAACCAAGAAGATGAATCCCTGCAGTCACGAAAGCTTTAAATCGAAATTTAAACACAAACAGCAGTGTTTAAAGAAATTCGTTTTCAATTTTGATTTAAAAGTTGCATAGCTCCCATTGGCTCCCTAATATCGAAAGGAAGAGCGTTCCAGACGGCCGCAAAAGCGCATCCGAAAGCGCCGCACGATGCGGTGAATGTCTTTGTTTGATGGCTTGCCAAAAGCCGCTCCCGCAAGGATGACCGGAGTTCACGTGATGTCTCCCCCTTCTAGGTGTGTTCTCCTGGCACCCGTTCCTCATGTCGCTCGGGGTAAGACGCTTCTACTGCCAAGTCATCATGAGAATCTCACCCGCGATTTCACAAAATCCAGCACATCTATTATTGTCAGTCTCGTATACATATTTCCGTTGCCTGATGATTGTTTAACATGATACGTAGAAAACTCTGATTTAAACTAAAATGTAGATGTTGTGTGCCCCACGTGACTCACAGAGTGCTGAGTCTCATTAAGATGGACTTGTTGTCTGTGTGCAGCTGTCAGAAGTGCTGCTATAAAACGGATACGTTGCTGACGTATAAATCCTCCATGTAGCCCACACAGCACTTGTGAATGCTGAAATGGCACACACTCACACTCGCAGTCTTAACATACTTTTGGGGCAAGTGCTGTTAGCGAGCACCTATGAAGGCCAGAATGGCATGCGAGGGGGTGGGTGGTCAGTGGCGATGATTACACATCACACCCGGGTACTCATCTGAGGCATGTAACAACTTGATTTGTAGTATTTGAATGGAGAAGACCGGTAAACGTGGATAGTTGTACCGTGGTGGGTAGGGAGGACTGGAGTTTGGGAAACTCAACTTTAAACCACACTCCTCCACCGCATTTTGTGCTCTCTCACCCCACACACGCTCACCCACTCAGTCTCGACACGGTGCCATTACTCTCTCACCCTATGTTTTCACCAATCTCTCCCACTCTAACCCTCTCACCCTCTCACCCTCTCACCGCCTTGGCCCTCTCGTCACAGTCGCACCATTTTCTTCTCTCCCACTCACTGGACATCTGTGAAACAGAGCTGCGTAGCTCATCAGATTCCTCCAGTATAAATACATTTTCTGATTCTGATCTCACTCTTATCTCACACCCACTCATCCTTCCCACCCTCTCGCCCATCTCGGCCGCTGGTCTCGCCCGCCCTCATCCATTCCCGCCCCCCTTCTCCCTCTCACCCCCGCGCGCTCTCTCACCCGCTCTCTCACCCGCTCTCACCCGCTCTCTCACCCGCTCTCTCACCCGCTCTCTCACCCGCTCTCTCACCCGCTCTATCACCCGCTCTCTCACCCGCTCTCTCACCCGCTCTCTCACCCGCTCTCCGTTCTCTCACCCGCTCACCCCCGCGCGCTCTCTCACCCGCTCACCGTTCTCTCTCTCTCTCACCCGCTCACCCCCGCGCGCTCTCTCACCCGCTCACCGTTCTCTCTCTCTCTCACCCGCTCACCCCTGCGCGCTCTCTCACCCTCTCTCACCCGCTCTCTCACCTGCTCTCTCACCCGCTCACCGTTCTCTCTCTCTCACCCGCTCACCCCCGCGCGCTCTCTCACCCGCTCACCGTTCTCCCTCACCCGCTCACCGTTCTCTCTCTCTCACCCGCTCACCGTTCTCTCTCTCTCTCTCTCACCGGCTCACCCCCTGCAGTTCTGCCTGTTCATGACGGAGGCGGTGCTGCTGTTCTCCCCGGACTGCTCGCCGCTGCGCTCGTGGCCGCGTGCCGCGCGAGTGCGCTGGCACTGGGTGCTGCAGGCGCTCGCCGTGACCTGCGCCGCCGCTGGCCTCGCCGCCATCTGCTGGGAGAAGCAGCGCAATGGGCGGCCGCACTTCTCATCGTGGCACGGCCTCCTCGGCCTCATCACCTGCATCTACGTGTTCGTGCAGGTCGGAGGTCACGCACGCGCGCCATAGATCGACCGCTCGCTCGAACACTCACCTGCTCACTCGCTCACTCGCACTCCCTATTGCCAGCTGATGCACCTACACCCCCCCCCCCTCGCACACACTCACTCATTCTGTCACTCTCGTGCCAACTCGTTCACTCGTTCAGCCACTTACCCATTCATCTGCTCACCAACATGCCTTCTTATACCCACCCTGATCACTCACTCACCCATCCACCCACACCCACCCACTTCTTGGTTCTTTCGGTAAAGTCACGTAGAAGGGAAGTAATAAAATAATAAAAATAAAACATAATAAAATAGTGAGAATTATTTTATTATATTATTTTATTTTATTATGTTTTATTTTTATTATTTTATTACTTCCCTTCTACGTGACTTTACCGAAAGAACCAAGAAGATGAATCCCTGCAGTCACGAAAGCTTTAAATCGAAATTTAACCCACCCACTTGTTCAATAATTCCACCGCTTGCACACTCATTCAACAACTTACTCAACCACTTGCCCACTCGCCCATTCATCTGTTGACCCGCTCGCCCACCCACCTGCACGTTTACTCGCCGACCCGCTCACCAATTCGCAATTCACTTGCTCACTAAAATACCCATCTGATCGCCCGCTTCTTTATCACTCTCTTGACCGCTAATCCACCCCTCCACCTGCCTTGTCGACTGCCCACTTGCTCATTGCTCACTTGCGTGTGCAGTGTTCACCAACAACAAAGACCACGTTTATTTGATTTAACCAGGTGAGAACGCCAGAGACGAAGAGAGGCTCAGATTTTCTGGTTTGACCTGCGTCACCACAATAACAAAAGCAATAATAGAAAACAAAGTACAGCGATAATGAAAATATCAATCGGAGCAAAAGCAACCGAATAGAAATCTGAGCGAACAAAGAAATGCGTTGCAAAAGATATTGAAAACGGTGCACAAACATTCATCGATGTTTGTACGTGATCAAATGAGCAATTTGTTTCGTACATAATTCGTCGTAACAGTAAGTTACAGATGAAGTTACTTAATATGCGTCGGGTCACTCGCGAATGAGACTCCTCCCGGTCCCCGTAGATGTCACACGGTGACAAAGCCAAACGCGTGGCCGTGTAAGTTCCGCGTGGAAACTCGCGTGCGCTGTGCCCCACGCTCCCCTGCACCGTGTGACCGCACGCCAGGCTTGCTGCGGCCCCGCTCTGCTCTACCCGAAGCTGCTGTTCAAGAAGGTGTCTCTGGCCAAGGTGAAGCTGTACCACGCCACCTACGGCCTGCTGGGCTACGTGCTCGCCTGCACCAGCGTGCTGCTCGGCCTGTGCTCGGCGTGGTTCGCGGCCCGCGTCGCCGGCCCCGCGTGGCTCGCCTGCGCCGCCTGCCCGGTGCTCGCCGCGCTGGTCGCCATGAACCAGGTCACCAACGCCTACCTCTTCCAGAAGCGCGTGCAGCTGTGACGGCGCCGGACGATGCCGCCGGTCGCTCGCTGGCGCAGTCGTCATCTTCGGCGAGACCGTCAAGACCGTCAGTCGGCGTCGGTGACATTGCAACCGGGATTTTAATTGGCTGAGATTAAATTTGGGGGGGGCGAGGGGACTGCGTTGGCGTGCCCCGGTGTGACCGCCGGCTGGTGAAATCGTCGTCGAGGTCATCGTTGGGTGCCGTTATCGCAATCGGTGGCAGTGTCGTCGTCGTCGTCATCATCTTCCTTTTCAGAGTTTTTATTCAAAGGAAATTAAGAGACTGTTGGCAGTGGCGCGTGCACAAGATGTGGCCGCCAGCTCGTGACATCATCGTCTTTGTCGTCGTCTATTGCCCCCACTGCCTTCGCCGCCCCACACTGACTAGCGTGGTGAAGTACGCTCAGATAACGTATGGTATCTGGAGGTCCTCATCCAAAGGACTGTCCATGTACATTACTATTATAACCAGGTGAGAGCCTCATGAGATTACTTAGCTCTTGCAATGAAGGGTTTTTACAGGTGCAGTTAGGTCATGATTTGGCCTTTTTGCGATTCAGTTATGGTTTATGATTGCAAATCGATTCAATAATTCTTTATTTTATTCACGTAAGTCCTTAACGTACGATATTTATGATTTAACCGAACGTGCACGTGGTTTGGTATGGTGTGTACCCTGTGCTTACGAATCGCTGTTAATCAATTATACTACTTAAGTAATAACCGGTTGCTCTACCGGTTATCGGTTCTATTACTCGACCAACAAGATGGCACGCAAATAGTTGGGGAAAAGAGTCTCGCCTTCGTTGCAGCGTGTGCCGCTGTACTGGAGGTGATGGGCGCAACTTGGCGGCCTCCGTTGCAGCGTGTGCCGCTGTACTGGAGGTGATGGGAGCAATTTGGTGGCATCTTCATCGCAGCGTGTGCCGCTGTACTGGAGGTGATGGGAGCAATTTGGTGGCCTCCGTTGCAGCGTGTGCCGCTGTACTGGAGGTGATGGGAGCAACTTGGTGGCCTCCGTTGCAGCGTGTGCCGCTGTACTGGAGGTGATGGGAGCAATTTGGCGGCCTCCGTTGCAGCGTGTGCCGCTGTACTGGAGGTGATGGGAGCAACTTGGTGGCCTCCGTTGCAGCGTGTGCCGCTGTACTGGAGGTGATGGGAGCAATTTGGCGGCCTCCGTTGCAGCGTGTGCCGCTGTACTGGAGGTGATGGGAGCAATTTGGTGGCATCTTCATCGCAGCGTGTGCCGCTGTACTGGAGGTGATGGGAGCAATTTGGTGGCATCTTCATCGCAGCGTGTGCCGCTGTACTGGAGGTGATGGGAGCAATTTGGTGGCCTTCGTTGCAGCGTTTGCCGCTGTACTGGAGGTGATGGGAGCAATTTGGTGGCATCTTCATCGCAGCGTGTGCCGCTGTACTGGAGGTGATGGGAGCAATTTGGTGGCATCTTCATCGCAGCGTGTGCCGCTGTACTGGAGGTGATGGGAGCAATTTGGTGGCCTTCGTTGCAGCGTGTGCCGCTGTACTGGAGGTGATGGGAGCAATTTGGTGGCATCTTCGTTGCAGCGTGTGCCGCTGTACTGGAGGTGATGGGAGCAATTTGGTGGCCTTCGTTGCAGCGTGTGCCGCTGTACTGGAGGTGATGGGAGCAATTTGGTGGCATCTTCGTTGCAGCGTGTGCCGCTGTACTGGAGGTGATGGGAGCAATTTGGTGGCATCTTCGGCTGCGTCGCGCTGGCCGCGGCTCGTCGGGGGAGGGGGGGGTTTCCCACCTTCGGGCGGCAGGATGTAGGGGTAGACGCCATTTTTAAAGGGGGGGCGGGGGGGGCCCACAGCGATCGACCATAAAAAAGTAGTGGATGAATCAACGTAATTGGCTCACCGTCGCAGCTTTACAATTAAAACGAACGTCGATTCTCGCGCTTAAAATCGCCTACCCCAAGCTTTAAAATATCAATCGGTGCATCGTTACTTTCCACGGTTATCGCCACTGCACCGGCCTCCTTTATTTAACCGTCTTAGAGAGCGTCGACAGAGATTCGTCGTCACTTGCAGAAGCGGCGTGTCTTGATGTCGGAGCCCACGCGTCCATCGTCCCTTTGTTTCACTGTCTTGAGAGCTCGCTGAGATTTATTTTCTGTCGCATGCGGCGCAATGTGATGACCGCGGGCAGCGGTAACGGATGGCGATGATAATAACGACGTCGATAACGGACGGATGTGGCCGGTGGTGTGGACTAAGAGTTCACCAAATCTAAACTAACACTATATTTTTATTTTACCAGGTCTATAGCTGTTTTTCAGAAGTGGCCTGGCCACGAACGATAGCTCAACAAAGTGGCTCATGATGTGCAAATTTCACAGCCAAATCCGCACTTTGATTCAACAAAATCTACACGACCTTGGGTAGAACATGCAAACTCCAAATATTTATATGGCCTCAGGGTCGGGCTCAAACCCACGACCTGTATAGCAGGTGAGGTAGTTAACATCTCACCACCGCAGCAGCTCACAAAATCACCTGCTACACACCCCGATCTCATCAGGATCTCAGAAGCCAAGCAAGCTTGAGCCTCAATAGTACCTGGAGTGGCAACCATCTTACTCAAACAGGTTGGTACCAGGCTGCTTCGGGACCACGAGCTAGGGCAGTACAGCAACAGCCCGTTGTTGTACCCTACTTATATGATGCCGCTCATGTGTTTTCCACCTTAGCCAATTCCACACCGACCGGCGTGAAGTTCCGAGTGACCACGGCTTCCCCAGCCAGCGTGGGGAGGCCGTCATCCAGCAGTGGATTGGCAAAAGGGCTGTGCGCGCAAGACGTGTGGAACGAGAGCAATCGAATGATTTGATACATCTCTTGGTTCTTTCGGTAAAGTCACGTAGAATGGAAATAATAAAATAAAATAATTCTCACGACGTTTCGGCCACAACGCAAGCAGCCGTCCTCAGGTGGAGAACAGGTCTGTCTGTTTCAGACTCTGTCTTCTCGACAGACCTGTTCTCCACCTGAGGACGGCTGCTTGCATTGTGGCCGAAACGTCGTGAGAATCATTTTATTATGTTTTATTTTTATTATTTTATTATTTCCATTCTACGTGACTTTACCGGAAGAACCAAGAATATGAATCCCTGCAGTCACGAAAGCTTTAAATCGTGATTTGATACAGCCGGGATGTATCGTTAGTGGGAGATGTTGATTAGGGTTATTTAACTGGCTCCTTTGGAGCACGTGAAGACAGAGAAATGTGACTGTTTTTTTTCGCGGTTGTGCTGCTGTGGAGCTCTCCGGCGCGTTTTATGGTTATGCTTATTACCGCGTGTCGTTCCGCACCATGTCCGACGTTTCACTCCACAACCCTAAAGAAGCGGCTCCCAGCACGTAGAGCTAAACGTCCAACGGTTCAGTTGATTGATGATCCAGCCCTCGCCGATTCACTTCAGTCATTCGTTCACCCGGTTTGGCAGTCGCCCCCCTTTATCACTCTTCTATCGATCGCTTCGACCATTTTGAGTGTTCCCGTTAATTTCACTCATTGGTTCCTCTGCCCATGTTGAGGACTCTGTCTATGACGAGGCGCGGCTTGTTTCATCTCATCTCGTCCACACTGTTCAACCACCACGCTGCAAGTCACAACCGCTCGCTCAGCCGCTCGCTCAGCCGCCCGCTCAACCGCCCGCTCAACCGCCCGCTCAACCGCCCGCTCAACCGCCCGCTCAACCGCCCGCTCAACCGCCCGCTCAACCGCTCGCTCAACCGCTCGCTCAACCGCTCGCTCAACCGCTCGCTCATTCACGCAGACAACGCATCCACTCATTCGCTCACAAACTCACCAACTCACCCACTCTCCACATTGCAGGTCACAATGCTTTCTGCTGCTTTCCTCGCAACTACTCTGCTATGCAATCCCATCCCATCACTCCCCCCCCCCCTCCCCTTGTTCCATTCAAGAAGAATTTGAACTTTAAAACAGATCTATGTTCTAATCACGTAAGCAAGTGCGTCTGTTTGTTGCTGGCCATTTGGCATTTTTGGGCCTGTGCCCGGCACCGTGCAGTACAACCCTAAAGCACGCGGGAGAGCTACACAAGACGCGTCGGTGTCGTGTCGTGTGATTTTGAAGTCTCTTATTGTTTAGTTTTCTTGTGTACCTTGTGTTGTTACCAGGGCTTAATTTCAGCCGGGGTCTGTCCAGGTCTGCGACAGAGGAGAAAATATATATTCTTGGTTCTTTCGGTAAAGTCACGTAGAAGGGAAACAATAAAATAATAAAAATATAAAACAATAAGCTTCTCACGACGTTTCGACTGCAACACAAGCAATCATCATCAGGTGTGAAAAACAGAAAGAAATTTTAATTTGTTTGCTGTTTTTCTAAATTTTAAAATTTTCTTGCTGTGTTTTTCACACCTGATGATGATTGCTTGTGTTGCAGTCGAAACATCGTGAGAAGTTTATTGTTTTATATTTTTATTATTTTTGTTTCCCTTCTACGGGACTTTACCAAAAGAACCAAAAATTTGAATCCCTGTAGTCACGAAACCTTTAAATCAAGAGGAGAAAATGTTTTGTGCATCGCACACCCCATCTGGTTTACCTCATGCTGGCGGGCTGTGGCTAATTAGTCGCATGCCAACTTATTGACCAGCGACCTGAAAAATATTCTGAGAGAAATTAAGCCCTGGACATTGTGTTTGGGTTTTTCTATCCGTAACGACGGTTGCAAGAAACCCCGGAGGGCAGTTTTGTACATTCCAGAGTTTTATACATCTGGGTGGGCAGATGAAGTCAACATTGAATGGTTGTTGGAACTGATACGTGTGATTTGTGATTGATTTTCGTTATGGAGGTGGGAGACTTGATCGGTTTTGGTATTGAACCCAACAATTCTGGTTACGACCAGGATATGCTGCTGCCTTTCAACTCGCCCTCCATGCTTGCTCAGCTCCTTACCTACCCATTCACCCAGAAACTTTTACCCATGGACGAGCCGACCCACTCGCACAGCTATCCCAGCTCACTGAACCAAGTGCTCCCTCACACACCCACTCATCTGCGCAGGCACTCGCCTGCATGCTCACACTCGCCCATCCACTCATTCAACAGATCTATTTATCCATTCACCCACTCGCATATTTCTTTACCCCACTGCTCTCCCATAATGGGCCATCATCCATCAACCTGCTCTCCATCCCACGAACATATTTAAAGCGCTCACATCTACTCACTTTCCAAATATCCCACTAGCACAGTCATCCAGCGGTCTGCTCTCTCATTCAGGCACATTCTCAACCATCCGCCAAAACCAGTCACTCATCCACCAACAATCCCAACTACCCACCCGTGAACGGACTCACTTCCTCACTCACCGACGTACCGCCCACCCATTCTGTTCTCTCACCTACCGACTTTCCTGCTCACGCATTGATGGACGGGGCCGCTCCCCTACAGCTCCACTCGCTCACAACCCAGGCACAAAAAGTGACACCTATAGCTGTTTATTTAAATCCATGTTAAACGATGCCCATCGCTCTTCACGCACACGCAAACACAACTGACTGTAACTTGTAGCTTAACAAAAACCGATTCCACGCACCGTTTCGGCACGCAGTGATCTGGTATCCACGCGAAATTCTTCCACTTCACCCACTCCACATGGTCGGCTATTGGCAATTAATTATCTGCCATTCCGATGTGCAGCAGGGGGACAGTATTTGTCAAACTCCACCGGCGCACATCACCACAAACCACGAGTACTATCACCAGATTCGCACAGCTGTGGTTTGAATGAAGGTCAGCACACGTGGGAAGGGCGGCTGGAGTGGGGTTTAAGAACCCCCTTTACTGCAGACCAGACTGGTGTATCGGTTCGGTAGAATGGATGTGGGTAGAATGCCATGAAAGTGAATTTAAAGTCTTTTCGTTTTTTTGCATGTGCGGTGGTTTTACTCGATCACCGAGGTTAAACGGTTACAGTCGCAGTAAAAGACCTGGTTGGGTTGGTCTCAGGAGTAGATGCATATGCACAAATAGTTATCGATTTTACCTTCACGTTCGGTGACACTTTTGACTCACAACCTCGTTTAGTCTTGCAGTGGGGCCACTGTCAAAAGTTAAAGCTAGTGCCCAAACTGAATTCATCATCAGTGTTGGGCTGGTGTTCACCGAGGGCTCGATTAATACGTAGCTCAACCCACCCAGACAGCCCTAACCTGGTTTAACAATGTTAGGCTGGTGTCAGGGTATGTACCAGCCTCGCATGTCACCGAACCTAGTTTATCGTGCTGGGATGATTGTCAACGTTAGGGCTGGACCAAGACATAGCCCACACCCAACCGTGCATAGCCGTCGCCTCATTTGGCTCGGTTGGGGCTGTTGCAATTCGGGTATATGTCAAAGCTCAACCCAGTTTATTATCAGGTTGAACGGATCATCAGGTTTGGGGTCAGGGACAAAACCAGACAGACCTAACCCAGTTTGTGCTAAATAGGCTAAAGCTAAATCTGGTTTAAGGGCTAGACCCCAAACATGGCCCAAGCCTGGCTGAGCATTCATGCCTGCGTTGGACTGGTCGAATGACAGCCCCAGCCTCGTGTTTTTGTGTTGGGCAGGTATCGGTGTCAAAGCCAGGGTCGACAGTGCCACTCTGCTCCACTTGGCCACCACAAGAAGCCTTCCTCGGTGCCTCAATGATCACAGAATGAGAATCGTGGTGAACGTTGGCTGGCCGAATTCAATGTCGTCAGCACCCACCCCCACTTCACCAAGCCCCAGCTGGTTTGCGAATCACCGCAAGATCCTTCAACGCCAGTCCAGGGTCTCTCGCATGGGCGGACACCACCATGTTTGGCGGTGAACAATCGTCGACTTGGACCACCTTGCCTTGGTGCACTCTCACACACCCGCTTCCTGAATCGGCTGAAACGGGATGTGGTTTATTTTCAGCGTGAGATTTACCAGTAAAGGGTGCAGCAGTTGCAGTGATCTCATGATTAACAAAAACCAAGTGCCGCCCCCCCGCCCCGGCCACTCCTTGTGCGGCATCGCCAGCTCCAGAACGGCTGGGTGAACGCCACTCGCCCGGTCAGTGCCAGACGTGAAAACCTGGTTTAACCACGTTTGGGCAGCTGATGCTCGAGATTTGAACCCAGGATATCTCACCGGTGCAGGCTCACCGCCGCATCACCACGAAACTATGTCAGGATTCTGTCCCGGCCCGCAAGGGACTGGAATGTTCGCCGTGGCGAGTGGCTGGGTGAGATTTTCACGACGACAATATTTTAGTTCCTGCACCATTCATTTAAGCTTCACACCTTGTCTGATTCCTCCAGTCTAAATAAAACTTCTGAAGCTCCCAACCTGATAGCCCTCTGCCACGTCAGCCATGACCAAATGCGGCACAACGGCCGACAACGAGTGCTCGTGCGGTCTCCCCGCGAGCAAGGATGAACGCTTTAAACCCGCGACTGTGCTGGCGCGTGTGGAGAGACCAAATTTAAGGTGCAAGACAAAAATCAAACAAACCGTCCGTTTAGATACACACCTCGCCTGTGTGTGTGTCTGTGCACCCAAGGGCTGCCCGACACGTCTGAAGCTTCGATAATAATAATAATGGCCTTTGCCTAGGAAAGCTCTTTCAAGGTGTCTGACCAAAATAGAAAAGTAGGCCAAAATACCCTCCAGAGGGGCTGTCTAGAGCACCCTCTAGTGGAGGCCCTTCCGGCCTGCAGTGTCACGCACACAAACAATTGCAGGGTTCCACCTTTACTCAGGAAGGCCCGTGTCTCAAGATACATTTTCTCAACGGTCCAGCTACATTGGCATAATTTCTGCCAATGCCAAAAGGAATTTACGTTTGAGAAAGTGAATGTTAAAGTTGTGAATGGGCGTGACATTATGGCACTCCGGCGATGTCACTCCCCTCGATTTCAATACGTCAAGTGTCATGAAACATTGCTAGTGCTACGACAGACCACGTGAATGTGACTTTAAAATATATTTTTCTCACCTAAACAAAGTGCCAAGTTTGTGTCAGACAGCCTGGGACACTGCCTTAGCTTCGTTATCTTAAATCCATTTTGTATGCGTGCGACGTCCTTTAATTTTCAGTTTCATTTCCATTCTTATGGCGGTTTTTCTTCATATTTCGGAACGTTCTTCCGAAATCGCCTCCAATCCACTATGGGGCCAGTGTCGTCACTGTCTCACCGGCACCAACGCTACCACTACGACCGCCGGCAAATCTTTCACACGACGAACATGGCTGGACACGCAGGGTCGAGTTTTTACTGGTCGTCTCTTCTCTAAATAAAATTCTCCCGCTAATCAACGCCGGCGCTGCAAACCGCAGCTTTAGCGATCTTCCGCTGGCGCTGCTGGCGCTACTGGCGCTGCCGGTGCCGCTTCTGCCACTGCGGCTTTTACGCCTTCACGGTGAGCGCAGGTTGCCCGGCCTGCCCGACGATGTCGGGGGAGTCGGAGAAACCGGCTCCCGTGCCGCCACCACCACCACCCGATGCCGGCGCCATCGTCCGCTCGTCGTCACTGCTCTGGTCGCCATCGTCGTCCATGTCGGGCCAGTTGGCGTGCTCGTCTCCGCGTTTCAGCCGCTCGTTCAGGGCCTTGAGCGCCGAGCTGCCTGTGGTGGGGGTTGGGGGACGTAGGTAAAGGTGCAGCCCTGCAAGTGCCTGCTCACACCACTGCTGGCACGAAAGGCTTTCGAGGGCTCTAGAGAGCCCCTTTATTAGCGGATATTTTTGGCCTACTCTTCCATGCTGGCCAGACATCTCGCGAGACACACAGACAGGGGCGCATAGTGGTTAAATATTGGTTGAATTAAATGAGCAGCTGGTGCAGAGGGTCGGATACGATGAGGTCGCACTGCTGAGATGCTATAGGTTGGAAGCCGAGGTTTGCTCAACCACGTTTAAATTGGGTTGTCAAGTAAAGCGAGCCGATGGTCGCGGCCCACTCATCACAATGTACATAAGACATTCACAGACTCGCGCGGGGACCCACAGACTCGCGCGGGGACCCACAGACTCGCGCGCAGACCCACAGAATCGCGAGGAGACCCACAGACTCGCGAGGAGACCCACAGACTCGCGCGGGGACCCATATTACATAGAGCGTGACCTGACCTCCTCCTCTCGGCGTCGTGCGGGTCGGCACCGTGCAGGCTGATGGTGATGGCGGACGGCGCCCCCACGTCGTACCTCTTGACGGCGCGGCCGCACAGCCCCAGTCGCACCATGGCACCGTGCGCCAACCGCGCCAGCAGTGCCACGGCGGGCCGTGCCGGGCCCGGGAAGAAAACCGCCAGCTCAAAGTGCTCCGACATGTCTCCCCGCCCACGCGCGTGGCTCTGGCAAAAGCGCAGGTAAGCCCAGCCAGAGAGCAGGCCGCAGGCAAAGCACAGCGCCGGCCGTCCGCTCACCAGCGAAGGCGCCAGCAGCGCCGTCAACCCCAGCGCCGCGAGCACCGCGGCCGGGGCGTGGCGCAGGCGGAGGAGCAGACGTGGCGGCGAGCGCAGCGGCAGCAGCGCCGCCGCGTCGGGCCGCGTCTGCACGAGCGCCGCCAGCACGCCGCCGGCCAAACCGGCGCAGCCGCGCACCTGCACGCTGAAGAGGTAGTCGAGGTTGAAGGTGGCGACGTACAGGGCCAGGTAGGCGGCGCAGGCCAGCACGCCGGTCCCGGTGCCCACCACGGCGAGGAACGTGAGCAGCTCGAGCGCGCCCCACAGCGGCTCCAGCAGCCGGCCCGCAAGCGCCACGGTGGCCACGCTGGCGGCCGCCTCCCACGCGTGCAGCTCGACGAGGGAGCAGGTGAGCGGCGTCCACACCCATAGCATCGGCGGGATGAGGTAGCCGGGCGTGACAGCCAGCGCGTACGCCGTGTGCGTGGCGTACGACAGCAGGTAGCAGCAGCACGACGGTGGCGCACAGCGCCTTCACCACCACGCTGCTGCCCGCCGCCAGCTCCAGGCAGTGCTGGCGCGCGCTTGGCACGTGTCGCATGGTGGCGCCGGTGGGTGACGGTGAAGGTTGTGACAGTGGAGGGTGTGTTGGGGGTGGCAGTGATTATTTTAGCGGAGGCAACGGTAGGGTGCGATAGAATTAGTGGTGGCTATGGCGAAGGTTCTTGTGATGATGACGGTTGTGCCTGTGGTGGTAATGCCTCCCTAATTAACAGTGTTCACCGGCACCGCCCTTCCAGCGACTGGCACTCAGCCACGCCCCTCGGTTACGGCTGCCAGTCGCGTTCTGATTGCAGTGCGACACCGGTGCAGCGCCGCAGCGTTCGGTGTCGGGTACCGGCCGGTGGGGTCGACTCAAAACGAGCAAGTGGGAGCGAGTGCGGGACGAGGGCGAGCATAGAGAGGGCGAGTGAATGGTGAGCAGCAGTCGATTTCCCACCGGCACCGATCCGACCCGTAGCTTCACCACAACCGGTGTCGAACTTGACCTGAAGAAGCTCCGGTGGCGGCGGCGGTCGCAGAGCAAAAGGTTGAATCCTGGTTGCCTGAAACGGAGAGGACACTCATTCAATGCCTGGATCCCACTCTCGCACCAGCCCTTGTGGAAGGCTTAACTGGGTTAAAAGACTGTGGCTAATCCTAACTCTGGGCCCCCGAAGCAAAGCCGAGTTCGGACTGTGCCTGGCTCTGGCCCCTAACACCATTGTCTCCACGAGCCACAGATGTCACGTCCGTGGGAGGAAGCAGGGGTGAAAACTCAAGTCGATCCGAGCTTGACTGCGCATGCAAACGGTGGAAATCATTTTGAGTGTGGCAGCCAAGATAAAAGCCAATTTGGGTATAGCTCTGCAACACAAAACGCAACACAAAACGCTTGCAAACGTATTAAATATGTACGACTCCCTGTAGTTGAGTGTAAATACTCGTGATTTTTAAAATAAACTACGACTATTACCACTCGTAGTTCATTTATATTTGCGGACTCACCACAGCTGGATGATAGCCCTCCTGCCCCCCCCCACCAAGCCGTTGAGGGTTTTTGACACTACTTCACCACGTTGGTCACTGCGGGTTGGTGGTGAAGCCGTTATAAGTCGTAATCATCAACGTAATTATAAACATTGTTACTTTGGCAAAACACCCGAGGTCACAAGCGTAAAGTAAAAATGTCGCTTCAGGGGTCAACTAAACCCAATGATCACAGCACGGTCGTTAAAGCAAAGTACCACTTTGTAAAGCCCCAACGCTGTGCCCTTCTCTAAGTTTAAGTCAGGACTTGTTTGGGCCATGGTAACGTCCAATTTCCACATCGGGCTAAACAACACAGAGGCATGTTGACGGTCGTTAAAGCAAAGTACCACTTTGTAAAGCCCCAACGCTGGCTTCTTCTAAGTTAAGGCCGGACTCGTTGGGGCCATGGTAACGTCCAATTTCCACATCGGGCTAAACAACACAGAGGCATGTTGACCAAGACAAAACATCCGTTGTTCAGTACCCCTATCCTCCCACGTCTACACCGTGCCCCCCCCTTAACCAGCGTGGTGAAGTATGGTCAAATCAACCCCCCCCCCCACATTCTCACGAACCGCACGGAGGCCTTCATCCAGCAGTGGATTAACAATTAAATTGCACAGTGCGACCGGATAAGCCTCTCCCGATGCTAATCAGCAGCAATTCGCGTCCTTACATCATCACGTCGTTACGAATGTCGCGAAGAATCATCAACATCGTGATACGATTTACATTAATTAATGAAACGAGGTCCAATCTTTCGCCATTGCCGCCGCCGCCGTCGCCACCGACCTCTGGACCTCTCTCCCGGGGCGAGTTCGCGTCTCGAGCGAAGGCGGCGAGAAGCCACGGGAAGGAAAACAAACCTCGGCGCCTTCTCCTCAGCAGCCTCCGCCTCGTCAGCCGCCTCCTCGGCCGCCTTCTTCTTCGCGGGACCGACTCAGGGCCGCGGCCATCGAACGTCGTCCTGCTGACGTCTACCGCGCTGACGTCATTTTACTTGTTAGTTTGCCACGGGCGTGACGTCATCACGCCTCAGAATTGTCGCGCGCCTCCTGCGGGTGACGTCATTCCGCGGTCAACGACGTAATTTGCTTTGTATTTTGCCACGGGCGTGACGTCATCACGCCTCAGAAATGTCGCTAGCTTGCTGGTGACGTCATTCCGCGGTCAACGCACGTCAATTTTACTTATTTTGCCATGAGCGTGACATCATCACGCCCCCGAATTTGTCGCTCGCAGCCTTGAGTGACGTCATTCCGCGGCCAATGACGTAATTTACCTTGTATTTTGCCACGGGCGTGACCTCATCACGCCTCAGAATTGTCGCTAGCCTCCTGCGGGTGACGTCATTCCGCGGCCAACGACGTAATTTGCCTTGTATTTTCCACAGGCGTGACATCATCACGCCCCCGAATATGTCGCTCGCATCTTGTGAGTGACGTCATTCCGCGGCAATAACGTCATTTTTTACGCAATGTGTGCGCGTTTGTGGCTTTAAAATATAAAATGGACTTCCAGTAAAACTATAATAATGTTTTTTTTATCTTACGAAGTAAGGCCCGCTGAGCTATGTAGCTCTGTTTCAGAAGCGACCTGACCACAAATGATATCTCAACCAAAGTGGCTTATCACGTGTAAATGTATAGCAGCCAAATACAACACTGCTCTCTCAACGCGTGATGTTGATTCTAAATGTGGAAGGGGATACTCGGAGGATATGGAGATTTAAAAAAATCCACGCGACCACGGAAAGAGAGAAAGACACGCAAACTCCAATTATACAGCAGGCAGGCGTTAAGGTCGGGATCGATCCCATGACCTCATGTATACCAGGCGAGGTAGTTAACATCTTATGCACCGTGGTGGCTTTATAATAGGTGACGTTTCGGACAATGGTCCTCCTTCATACAACATACATATATTTCCTCTTAGGAACTCACCCTCCTGAAACACTCCCGTCGTGACCAGCAGCCGTCGTTCGACATTAGCATCTGCGTAACAAATACAAATAAACTCAGAAATGTGTTGAGTGTTTGTGTTAAGTGCTGACTCGCCCGTGCCGTGCATCTGTGAAAACAAGAGCATCATAGCTCATCGGATTCCTCCTCCAGTCTAAATCAAGATTCTCAATCGCGTGACGTCTGCCCTGATGCACTCACCCATTCATTCACCACGACACGAGGGGGGGAGGGGCTGGGTGGGGGGAGGGGCTAATGGGGGGAGGGGCTGTCGGGGGAGAGGGGCTGGATGGGGGGAGGGGCTGGAAGGAGGGAGGGGCTAGATGGGGGTTGCTGGGGGAGGGGGCTGTATTGGGGGAGGGGGTTGGGGGAGGGGGGCTGGATAGGGGTAGGGGGCTGGATGGGGGGAGGGGCTGGATGGGGGGAGGGGCTGTCGCGGGAGGGAAGCTGGATGGGGGGAGGGGCTGGATGGAGTGGAATGGGGGGTTAGAGGGGCTGGCGGGGGGAGGGGCTGTCGGGGGGGGAGGGGCTGGATGGATTGGAATGGGGGGTGAGGGGGGATTGGCGGGGGGAGGGGGGATTGGCGGGGGGAGGGGCTACAGGGGGAGGGGCTACAACGAACGGACGTTTCGCGACGCCGGCGTTTTCACGACACCGGCCGCTGCCGTAAAGGTGTCGGGTGGGTGGGGGGTTTGCGGGTGGGGGGATGGGGGTGGGGGGGATGGGGGTGGGGTTGGGGGGGATGGGGGTAGGGGCTGGGCTGGGGGGGTTAGTGGGGGAAGTTGCGGGGGGTTAGTGGGGGGGGTTGCGGGGGGGCGGGGGGGGTTAGTGGGGGGGATGGGGGTGGGGGCTGGGGGTTAGTGGGGGGGCGGGGTTGGGGGTGGGGGCTGGGGGGGATGGGGGGGTGGGGGCTGGGGGGGGTGGGGGCTGGGGGGGATGGGGGGGTGGGGGCTGGGGGGGGTGGGGGCTGGGGGGGATGGGGGGGTGGGGGCTGGGGGGGATGGGGGGGTGGGGGCTGGGGGGGATGGGGGTGGGGGCTGGGGGCGTGTTCAGGTTGACGGCGCGTCGATGATGCCGCGGAAACGAGGCGCCGCCATATTGTAGCTGCGCCCTCGCCGCCTCCTCCTCCTCTCGCTCCTCCTCCTCCTCTTCTCCTCCTCCGCCTCCTCGCCAAGATGACCGGCCTGCCTCGGCGCATCATCAAGGTGGGCCTCGGCCGCTGCTGCTTTGCTGCGAGAGACGACGATGGTGATGGTGGTTATGGTTGTCGTGGTTGGTGTTGGCCGTGATGATGGCAGAAGCTTCTAGTCCAACTCGGCCTTGCGCCTCCTCATGTTGCCTCTTGCTTCAAAGTCTTCACCACCTCCACCATCATCATCTTTGTCATCGTCTTGGTCGTTATAGTCCTCGTAAAATGCATAATTACGGGGTTCGGAATCGTTACCTCAAGAGGTATCAAAGTGGTGATCGGGCATCGGTCTTCAAAATCTTGGGCAGTGTTCGTGATCCGAGGCGTCGGAATCGGCATCTTCAGAGGTATCATCATCACCAGCACAGTCATTGTCGACTTCACCGTCAGTCATAAATGTTGTGGTTTCACGCTTCAACACTGCACCGGTGTGGGGCTAAAGCAGTGAACTATTTTGTCTTTTGTCAACGTGACACTTTTTTGCTGATTTGGCCGTGTCGGGTGGTGGAGGGTTACGACACATTTTCTTGGTTCTTTCGGTAAAGTCACGTAGAAGGGTGAGAATTATATTATTTTGTTATGTTTTGTTTTTATTATTTTATTACTTCCCTTCTACGTGACTTTACCGAAAGAACCAAGAAGATGAATCCCTGCAGTCACGAAAGCTTTAAATCGAAAGGTTACGACACATTTATAAATAACGCGATCTAAACCCAAACACGTTTATTATGAATCATTGTCACGGTTATAATTGCAGGCCTCTTCAGTCTACTTCGTCGCCATAGACGTATCGTTATATACTTCATCATCATCATCACCACAGCATCATCACGACTGCAGGCTTAGCTATGTTTAATGGTCATCGTAGTTAACATAACTCATCCTTGTCATCATGAGAAAGTCATCGTCAGCACCATCCTCTCATCGTCTCCTCAGTCCCCTGCACCTCGTTACCATCAACCCATCATCGTCATTCCACGTCTCCACCCTTCCTCACAGCTTCTCCATCATCCTCTCTCTCTCCTGGTCACCTCATCTTCCCCTCCACCCACACTCGTGGTTGACTTCTGACGAGGTTCAGAATAAGGAGACGTGAGACCAATTTCCCTTCTTCTGCACCCCTCTACAATATCATCACCACAGCATCATCACGACTGTAGGCTTAGCTATGTTTAATGGTCATCGTAGTTATCATAACTCATCCTTGTCATCATGAGAAAGTCATCGTCAGCACCATCTTCTCGTCGTCTCCTGAGTCCCCTACACCTCGTTACCATCAACCCATCCTCGTCATTCCACGTCTCCACCCTTCCTCACAGCCTCTCCATCATCCCCTCTCTCTCCTGGTCACCTCATCTACCCCTCCACCCACACTCGTGGTTGACTTCTGACGAGGTTCAGAATAAGGAGACGTGAGACCAATTTTCTTTCCTCTGCACCCCTCTACAATACCGGGTCCACGTGTTAAAGAGAGGGCCCCCCACCCCGATGCTCGTGTAGCAAAGCTCAGTGGCCGAGCCTCGTCTGCAAGATTCATCTACGCCAGAGGTTGGTGGGGGGGGGGGGCAACCGATAAGACATCATCAGTTGTGAGAGCCGCCACAACATTTGAAACCATTGGGGGGGGGGGTGTTTGACAGTAGCACGATGATGATGGGGGTGGTGGTGGGGGGGGGGTCACTTCTGTGTTGTTGTGGGGGGGGGGGGTGACAGTAGCACGATGATGGTGGGGGGGTCACTTGTGTGTTGTTGTGGGGGGGGGGGGGGTGACAGCAGCACGATGATGATGATGGGGGTGGTGGTAGGGGGGGGTCACTTCTGTGTTGTTGTGGGGGGGGGGGGGTGACAGTAGCACGATGATGATGGGGGTGGTGGGGGGGGGTCACTTGTGTGTTGTGGGGGGGGGGACAGTAGCACGATGATGATGGTGGTGGGGGGGGGTCACTTGCGTGTTGTTGTGGGGGGGGGGGGTGACAGCAGCACTATGATGGTGGTGGTGGTGGGGGGGTCACTTGTGTGTTGTGGGGGGGGGGGTGACAGCAGCACGATGATGATGGGGGTGGTGGGGGGGGGGTCACTTGCGTGTTGTTGTGGGGGGGGGGGGGTGTGACAGCAGCACGATGATGATGGGGGTGGTGGGGGGGGGTCACTTGCGTGTTGTTGTGGGGGGGGGGGGGCCGCACGTCTGGGGCCGCTGTAAAGGCCACCGGGGTCCACCAGTGGCCTTCGCGGGCCTTGCAATGACCAAGTGCACTGATAGCAGCAGGCCTTGTGTCAACCAGCTGCTGGATGACGCGCTCCGATACCCGGCGAACCAAGTTCGATTGCCGCTCACGGCCAACGCCAGCGATGAGTTAATGATCTGAACCGATCGAATTGCCTGTTCCCACCCTCGGTCGATTCGCCTTCAGATGAGTAGAACCTGGCGTGTAAAGGTTTGTGCAAACATCGCCACTGCGGAGATCGATGCGGTAGCACTGGGCTACCCACGCCCTCGTGTGCCGTGCCGGCCTTAATAGGTGCTCGTCGCTAACAGCACTTGCCCCAAAAGTCTGTTAAGGCTATACGGGGGATCTTTGTCTCTCCCCCCCCACCGTCCCCTTAGTTTGCTCAGGTTCCAATACATATAGATCACATGTCCACGCCTCGAGTCAACGTTAGTAAGGCATTTGTTTAATGTTGCGTGTCAATTTCCCCTTTTGTATTAGTAAGGCGTTTGCTTCGCGTGTGCGTGTTTTGTGTCATTCACTGCGCACCTTTCGGAAGTCGTCAGTCTCCTGCACGGTATCCGTGCCGCAGCCTGTCCTCTCGCCACGCCAAGAGTTGCGGTGACTCTTGAGTTGAAACGGCTTTGCCTCGATGCGTGAGAAGCAGCAACTCTCTGTCACCAAATGTACACACACTATTTTTAGCATTTAATGGCAACGAATTGGGTTTGATTTTTTTACATTTGCACAATTACTATCCATATTTCCACGCGCTGTGTTTTCTGGAGATACAATGATGGGTTGGGTTAATCGATGACCAATATCGATTCGTGTGTCAGGATCTATGTTGGGTGTTTAACTCGGTGAGAGACGGGGGTTAGGGGTGGTGTCGGTGCAGCGGTAAGCGCACTGCCACTACGAACCCAAAAACCAGAGTTCGTTTTTGGTCACACGACTCATCTCAATGGTGAGTGACGTCTAAACCAGTTGCTTGGGTCTATCCCCCACCACATTCATCGACCCGCACTGACCAACGTGGTGAAGTATGGTCAAACATCTCCCGTGGCTGAGATGGTGTGGGGAGGCCTTAATCCAGCAGTGGATTGACAGTGGACACGTAATTATGTTGTTACTTATTAAATCCTTTATATTAAGTTCGCTTGCTTGCGCGCTTACGACCGTGCAAAATTTTCGGTCGTTTTTAACTCACTTCCCGTGATCCAATCGAGCTGACATTTTGCACACAGACTCGTTGTGCGTGACAATTTATTTTCGTGAAAATTTTTTTCCAAAATTTTTCACTTTTTAGGGGAAAAAAAATTCATATTTAATTTAAAATACCAATGTGATCAAAATGAAACTCTTACTCAAGAAAACAGAAATGAATAATACAATAAAACCGATGCCACGCATATAAAGGATTTATAGTGAAAAACTTAGTTTTTACGGGTTAATTTTTTGCGTTTTCTGCAATAAGTTCACGTGACCCCTGCAGCCGCTCGAAGCCCTGCATTCACCGTACGTTATTTAAAATCATCGATACTTGAGTCTGTTGTTTAGTACAGAGGCCTGCAACTTGCGGAGCTTTAAGAACTGCGTCGTAATGCTATTTACTAAGCACCGTCTCGCATTCACATTACATGGCGGTTCTTGATATATCGATTAAAAAAAACTTTTTTTTTACCGAATTCGAAAGAAAAATA